TGCCTCCATTCGGAGTTGCGATAGCATTTAATTACGATTTGGCCTGTCAGATAAACGAAGCCAAGCTGATGTGCGACTCTAATCGGTTTCTTTCTGCTTGACAATAGTGCTACTTAACCACCTGTGGAGGTATGGATGTCACTGCTGGTCCAAACTAGAAGGGAACCTAGCCAAGATTGACTTGGGCGCCCTTGCGCGTGGAATGGGTCCAAGTATGACGTTACACCTCCTCAGCCAATATTTTCAATGTTGCTGACCAAACTCCCATAGTGCATTTTATGAGGCGGAGATGAGTGGAAAGTGGACACTCACCACGCGGACGGTCTGGGGGTGAACTCCTGGATCTGTTCTCCCCCAGGCTTGTAGGTTACATAGCACACAATAAGTCTCTACGATTCTGAGTGGTATAGAATGCGTGCCACATCCTGAAGTGGACTTGATCAAGGGTAGAGACTCCATCCGCCTATCCTTTAGTTCGTTTTATGCATTGAATATGCATTCAATTCCTCAACGATTGAAAATGAAAGCTGAGTGCATGGCGCATCTAGTAGGTGCCGGTTAATGTTGAACACTTTCTATGTTGCATTGTCCGCTGTGCTTATATTGTTTTTTTTATTTATTGTCTTATATTGGTGATTCATTAGTTAATGTTTTTCGTGAATTTAGAGCGCGATGAATTACAACCAACAACAACGAATGATGATGTTGCATCAGCAACAACAAATGCAGCAGGTACGTACATATAAAGAGAAAATAACTTTATTCGTTTTTTTTTCTTGAGTTTCACATTACGAACCAGTATTATCTCTTACTGGTACAGTTTACGGTAGTTGTTACCGTCGCAATCAGTCGGATGTCAAGAGGCATGTAGTGAGCCCACCCGTGGCGTTTTCACCACATTTCATTCTCTTAATAAATCGATCTTAACCCATCACCATTGGTAGAATAGGGGCCAAGAGGCGGATTTGTATTCCCTTCCCTCCACTCCGCCCCACCCCCCGCCCCCTCACCTCCTCGGATGCCGCTCCGAATGATTGCAGCGTTATCAACTATGGACCTGTCAGTCATAACTCGAATTATGAGCATAATTATTTCTAGATTTTTCAAATGAAGCTGCGAGAGATTTATCGCATAGATAAGTAGAAAAATATTCTGTTCTATGGAAACTTACTGATGTTTAAGCCTAATGAAGTGCTGCCAAGGATGAGGCTAGGGGAAGTCAAAATCGAAAGTCTTTTGCAGGGTCCTAAAAAGTTTTCATAGTTGAGTAGCAAGCTTTCTAATGGAGAGTTGCCTCGGTAGCTCACTAGAGAGGACCCCCATGTTGGGTCTTTCATGAATCTCGGCTTTATGCCGATTGTAAGGCGCTCAGCTTCAACTCTACTGAGGTTGATACAGTTGTTCGCAGCGACTGTGGTCAGCAACTCTTTCTTGGTGGAGAATGGGCTGGTGCCAAGGCAGACCCTGTTCCCTGGCATGCCTCAGTATCTGCAGCGAATATGTTTGTAAACTGGCTTCTCTGACCTGTGACATCGAACTTCAAAAGGATGGTGGAGATTTTTAGTCAAGTAGTGGTGAATTGCTTTGATCTTGTTGGGCTCTGAAGTCGGTCTCACTGAAACGGAGGCCAATGAAACCTATTCCGGAGACATTTTCGTAAACAGAACCTATATTTCCTTGAATATGCCTTGTTATTGTTAACATCAAACACGGCATTTCCCGATAGAATGAATGTTCCCGAGAAACAAGTGAGAAATGCCTAGAAAAAAGTTAGCCACTCGCGAAGAATGGCCTCGTGATCAACTGGACTTTTGAAAGGGTTCAGTCTGGAAGTCCTGAACGCGAACAGATGGGTACGGCAGCGGATGCGAAAAGGTGCTATGAAATATATGACAAATCGTGAGATGGCCTTTTCCCAAGGGGGTGCGGGACAACGTGCTGTGTGATTCACTAATCGTACCCAAAAACAGTCGGAATGTGCGGAATCATACTGGTCATAGAAGGCCGTGTAAATGTGAGAGCACGGTTAAGAACAGAAAATCGAAGCTATTGAAGGGATCAAGTTCAAGTTTCGCGTAGGCTCTCAAGGATAGCTGTTAAGAATGCTAAGTTGTATCTTTTGGTGGGGACTTCGCTTTGCCCCCAGGCCATCCAGGACAGTGTAGGGCGTTTTTTCAGTGCTCTGAGATTGAAAGGCTGTGAAAATCTGTGCAATTGACATTGAATATTATAAGCCTGGACATAGAGCTCTAACAATAGACTTGGTCTATAAGTAGGTGCTTTCCTTTTGTTAACTGGGGCGGATGTTGTTTCTAGGAAGATATTCTGTTTATGAGTGGTTGTTGAGAAGCGGACCTCTACGGAAATAGACTTTGAGCCCTAAAAGGAGATGGGATGTCTGAGCTCTAGAAGGTCGCTCACGGATGGGTCAGGGTTTCTTCACTTTGAAGCAAAACATCCTAGGACAGGAGTTACACTCGTTTAGGAATCGAGGGTGGTGAGTAATAAGTAACCCTAGAGGAAGAACACGTCCCGGTTGGGAGATCCGCCTCGCGGCTACGTTGGGGAAGGCGTCATATGTGCAATATTAGAACTAGCAGCTAAATGAATCAGCGTGAAACTGCTACAACAATTTCTATCAATTAGCTGGATAATACTAACATGTTGCCGCGCGTGGGTGAACCTCCTGACCGAAGAAACATTTTTGTGAGGCATCCTACAATTTCATGACCTCGGAAGCTCCTTTCCTTCCTGAATACCCTGCCTTGGTGGTGAGATCCGCTGGAACTGTTTGGCTCTGAGGAATTCTGAGGAATTCGAGCTATTGAGAAGGATTTCTCACACAAGAGACAAGTTGCTTTAAATACTTTACTTGTTTGTCTTTTTTAGTTGCCCACGCATAGAGACAAATTACTTTGAATACTTCACTTTTTTGTCTTTCTGTCTGTCTGACTCCTCCTAAATTACCTACCCTGCTTTGTCATCTCACCAGTTATCATCACTGTTCGATTTTGCGTTGCGTCATTACTTTCGGAATGTCTGAGGGTGCAGAAAAGATTTTTTGGGAGAAATTTTTGTCGTGATCTCTATAAATCTAGGGATGCGACAACCTGTATCCCATTTCTAATTAGTTGTACCATTAGAATGTTTGCGAAAAAATGCAGTCACCGAAAAATTTGCTAGCTGCTGAGAACGTTTGTGATTTATACTTATTTACTCTGATTGTTGATTATGTGGCTACAATCTCCAAAAGGTTTTACCTGGCCCGATTGCAGGGCCAAAGTCCAGCTCTATTTTGCTTAAGCTATCAACATGTATTAGAGTATTTTGAGGAGATTGTTGTCGTAAGGGAAGTCGTGGACTCGGCCATGTTTTTGTTTATATGTATACGATGCATGCCGGCAGCAGAATGCCGGCAGCAGACAGGTGGGAGGTTGTTGATTTTGTGGAGTGTTCCTGTCCAGAGCTGATTCTCACTGATACTACAGCTACTCTTTATTGATCTTGTAGCTTGGGAGAAGATAAGGGAGCCGTATTCAGTTTCTCTTTCTTGTTCTAGTTGTCTTTGAGGTTCTCGGAGGAGGGTGAAAGATGAGTTTGGGGCCGCTAAGTGAACCAGCCAAAGATTCGCTGACACGTTGAAGGGAAAAGCCAATTCCAGAATTCCATATAATGAAGCGGACTTCAAACCTTTAGGAAGGTCTCCTAAAAAATTAAATCGAAAAGGCTGCTCATTTTGTGTAATCGTGTTTCTTTTGCCCTAAAAAATTGCTCACGCACTGGAATTTTTGCTTTTTTGGACTTGGTGTGATCAACTGGTGCTGCTTGACGTGTAGATGTCTCGATCATTGGACGTTGGTGTAACTGTAAATGCCCATTCGGGGCACTTACGATTACACCAACGTCCAATGATCGAAACTTCGGGGGGGGGGGTTAGGTCCTAGAGAATCTGAGTTGATTTTAAGAGTTTCTTGTTGTGAAGCGTAGCTTTTGTTTATCACCCATAGCAAATGGGTACGCAGCCAATCATGAATCCTCGAGTTTCCTCCCATTCACTCGGGGCGCATTTCGCTTCGATCGCCGAATCTTCATCTCAAACTTCACCTCTTTTGAGGTCTAGCTTGGTCTCTAAGCCCTGCTTTTTTATCAGGGCCAAATTTCGGGTATTTTTTGAAAAAGAACAGCTTTCAATTTGTTATAAGACGATAGTAAACGTCAAAGCTTTTGCCATTGCACTAGGAGGGTATGCTTGCGAAAGCACACGCCACCCAGGCGGCAAATAATGGCTGACGAATTCCGAGAACTTTGCACTTTTCTCGACTGCCTCAGGACGTATTAGAGACGATAAATAAGATGTGAACGCACTACACCAACCACTG